GAACCTCCTGCGGGAACAAAGTGGGGTCAGGCGGGCCCGGGCCCCGGCCCCACGCACCCCCCGCACGCCCAGGCCCCAGACCCCCGAAGCAGGGAAACCGCAGCGACCCCCTGGAGAAACACCCGGCAGACGGGCGAGCACGACCCCATCTCGGCAAAGATGCGTCCTGCCCTTGGGGACCAGGGACGGAGCTCCAAGGCTCAGCAGGCCAGGCCAGCGCTGGAGACCACCGACTCCAGCCCCCTGCACGGGCCGCACAGTGTCTGCTGCACAGGCCCCAGGCTGCTTCCCGGTGCCCCCCGCCAAGCCAGACGTGCTCTACAAGGACAAAAGCAGTAATGACGTGACACAACAGAGACCGGGAACGGGGCTGGGGAGAATCTAAGTGTCCAGGGCTCTGCAGCAAGGGGGAAGTTGTCGGGATCATCTGACAGCTTCTCTGAGAAACCAGACCTGGTCATACACACCCTCAAAAAACACTTTGGACACTAAGCCTGATCAGCCCATGACAGGGATTACGATACACCGACCACAGGACACGACTCAACCCAGGAGGACACTGCTACAAGCTCTACCCGGCTGCTGCAGGCAGTGAGAAGCAGCAGACCCAGCTTGAAAAAATAAGGAAGTGCAGGTGTGGCCTCAATACAGCGTATTTGCTACCTGCAAACCTCAGCCCCACACAGCAGGAGCAGGATCCGCAAAGGGCACCTTGGGGTTGGGGTTGTCACAGAGAGAAGGCCAAGGGAAATTTTCTCAGCTGAGATTACTAAGCGGAAACAGAAGAGTGAGGGCAGAGTGCACAAGTTTCTCTTAAAAGACAAAGGGTTGGTCAGAAAAGAGAAAACCCAGCAAAGGGCTGGTCCACGGTTACGCGGACTGCAACAGCACTGCAGTCAAAGAGGCCGGAGGGCAGGACACTGGCCACAGGGAGGTCAGCACAGGTAAGACGATCATAAACTTCTCAGCTGCTCTCATGACTGCTGCAGGGTTGCAGCTGGAGGCTCTACATCACCAACTGACTTGGGACACTCCCCACACCACACACACATTTGCTAGAATCAGATCCTATTTTCATTTCAAACTTGTTTAGAGCTTAGGAAAACTCAGGTGAACCTGGCGGGCAGAATACATTGTCCTCCAAAAAGCCACAAGACTAAATAAAGTCATGGTTACAGGCAAGCCCATCAGAGCACTAAAAACATGTCACAGGAGCAGAACATTGTGGGCTGTGTCAGCCTGAGCTGCAAGAGCCAGCTGCAGACTGACAGCAGCAGCTTTGGGTCCAGAACAGGTAATTGTCTGGGTTTCAGGAATTAGATTTTCTGGTCAACGTTTCCTGACGTTATCACTCTCTTCAGTCACCCTGCCAGCGGAGCCCCAGCCAGCTGCTGTTCAGCAAGTCCAAGCACGGAATCTGCCTGCTTCCAAAATGTTCTGTCTGGACATGCCAGGACGCATGTGAGAAGCGCTATGGAAAGCTGGTAAGAAGCTGGCAATGTCCCCGAGTGTGGGACCCATGAGAGCTAAGCCTTATACCTAAGCTCAGATGAGAGATGTATGCAGAACACTCAAGGGCCCAGAGACAGAAAGGCATGCAAGAGGAGCTCAGGACCAAAGAAAGACTCCATCTAGGAACACAGGGAGAGGTCACATGGCAAGACTGTCGGACTCCTGTGACCCCCACCCTGAACTAACAGATGTCCAGAGGCTGTCATTTCAAACGCGTACTGCTATCGAATACTAGGTAGTTGGGGAATGAATAGTACCCCAAAAGCAGAATTCTCCACTGATAACAGCCCGATCCCGCTGTGACCCTTTTAGCAGCATGAGCAGAGGACTGTACCATAAACCACATTCAGCAAGCCTTGAGCAGTGAACCTCATTTGAGCTTGAAGTAGCAGAATGACAGGGGTTACCGCTGTCACCCAGAACTTAAGACAGACACACACCTGTTCTCACGTCTAGGACAGTAAGGAAGTCCCTTCTTTGTAATAAAGGAAGATCAGGGAAAAAAATCACCTTTTCCAAATTCTGTTGAGAGTTCCCGTCTTGTAGAAGTATAGAGACCCCTACTCTCTAGCAAGTCAGAAGACCCTCAGAAAAGGGACACAGAAGATCAATGTACAGAGGAGCAACATAAAACAGGGGGTAACCACAAGAGAGGATTTCCATCCCCTTCTCTTTGCTGTTGAGCAGATTAAGCCCAGCATGAGCCCTCAGCCACCTCTGCGCTCATGTGTCATGAGACAACTCTGAAGATAGCGTCTAACCTTCTCTATGCCATAGGACTGCTCTGAGATATATAATTCCTCTAAACTGAGGGGATCTTTCAGAAGAATGGACCTGTTTAAATTCTTGGTGACTAAGAGCCACCTGCAGTCATCTAGGACTAGCCCTTTAGGAATGTGCACTTAGAATGTGCCTAACTAAGAGAAAAACTGATGGGATGTCAAACATCCACAGAATTTCAAAGGTTTAACAGACCCCTGCGTCACCACAACCTTCTCCCAACACTCCTGGAGTGTTCTGGATAAAGCTCAGTGCTACACCTGATCTGTGCAACAGACAGGTCCTCCCTGTGCAAGTAGGGGTGGCTCTTCTGGGCACACAGGTCTGGCCAAAGAGACTGCCGGAGGGCAGAATTTCTCCCCTTCTCCCAGTGCCTCTGACAAATCTGCCTTGGAAAGCAACACAATACAGTGCGGTTACCGGCCGAGTTCAGCCCAGATAAGCTGAGCCTGCCCACCACAGCCAGATGGAGATCTAAGCATTTATGAAGATCGGAGCAGATTTTTGCAGAAGGGCGCATCGCTCCTCAGGCTCCATCCCTGCCATAAGCAGTTTGAAGGCTGGCAAAGCTACGCCACGTCCACACCCAAACGTACAGGCCCTAGAAGATCAGCACACAGCTTGCCAACAAACGTATTCATATGTTTATCACCGACTAGAGTGCAGACCCTGTCCTGCAGAAAGCAGGCCTTTAGCCAGCTTGGACTAAAGCAAAGGCTCTGTTATCTCTACCATCTTCTAAAAAGCATCTTCCAAGGTAGTCAGCCAGGCTCACCTGGAAGACACTCAGGCACTGAGAAACCATCGTTCCTCCTATCAGCTTATTCCATTGATTAATCAATTTCCTTTTCAGAAACACCTATCCTATTCCCTGTGTAAAGTCTGTCTGCCTACGATTTCCAACTGTTAGTTACTATTCTGCTTTTCTCAGACAGAGTAAAGAACCTTTCTGTACCTGGTTCCTTCACTTCATAAAGATAATTATATACAGTGAGCCACCTTATTTTCAGTAAGTTTAACAGACTTCACTTGCCCTCAGATTTATTTGTAGTTCCTCTCCAAACTTACTTGGAATTTTCAGAATCTTTTCCAAATACAACCCTGACACCAGAACTGGACGCTCTTTCCAATATTTGCCTCATCAAAGCCATACACAGAAGTCACACTCACTCTCTGCTCTTTGTTAGCATTCTCCTCTTACGCAGAGGAAGATTAATTGTGTAACTGTACCACTACTGCCAAACATCAAGCTTCTTTTTCAGAATCTATCTATAGTCCCACAATGACTTTTATCAGTCAAATCTGTAACACAAAAGAACAAAATCAGGTTTTCTGATAAGCCCTACGGCCCAAAAGCTACGTTTCTGACAAATAGCTTCTATCCTACCTAGTCCCCAAAACCAGAAGCCTAGTGACAAAACAGGAGACAGAGCATTTCCCAGAAATGACAAGGGGCTGCATGCTTGGGAGAAGTGAAAAGGAGGTAAATATCCGTCACCTCTTCTTCCAACCGCAACTCACTGTCTCAGCCCCATTGCCTTGTGCCAGAAGAGGAGGACGGGAGGAAAGTGGGCAAAGTAAGGGCTGAGCCTTGCTTGGGGCATACCCTGACGCTGCTGGGGGCAGGGTCTTGGGACTCAGAGAGGGTGAGGTGCAGGTGGACTCTCACCTCCTGGCATAGTCATAGAGTGCTCGTTTCCGCTCCTGCAAGGACAGATGCCGCTCCACAGGGGACTTCGCAAATTGCTTTGTAGCTGGCTAGAAGGGAAAGGACCAAAAAAAAAAAAATCAGAAGACAGTCAAACAAAACCAGGAGACCTCTGTATCAGCCCTGAAAACATCCAGCATGCCAATTCAGTCTTCAGTTTAAAACGTTACGCTCCCCTGACATCATGGCTAGCCCTGAACACAGGCCATGCTCTGGCTGCAAGCCATCACAGCAGGGGAGACACCACAACCAAAGTACCTTGGAAGAAGGCACAGCTATGGAGCCCTGGACGGCAGAAGCAGCTGCAGCCTGAGAGGTAGACGGGTCAGGCAGGTCAGCACTAGCCTCCTTACTTTCAGGGAAGAAGGGCACTCTCCCCTCCAGCAAGTTGGCAATGGTGGTATCCACACAGTTGGTCTGGGCTGTAGGACACAGAGGATCTGTTAAAGAGGGAGCTGCTGCAGTCAGGACACCCGCATCCTTGCTGCCAACATACTCCACAGTGCGGCAGAGACCAGGCTTCTGCTTTCAGGTATCACAGCAGCTTGGCATGAAAGGTGGTCCTGCGTCCCTGCTAATACCTTATGCATGTGCTTACCCAGGTCTGTCCTGATGACCTCCAGAGGCACATGAGGCAGCACCTCCTTGACCCGCTGAGCCATTGCTGTGATCCGCAAGTCCTCAGGAGCGAAGGACCCAGCACCAGTCAAGCTGGAAGGCATCCTGGGCCTGGCTGCCAGGGTTGAGGCTGCAAGAGGAAAAAAAAAAACAGAGGGCATATAAGGGTTGCCTTAAAGTGCATGGCCTTCGAGTTGCAATAGCTCCGCTTTCTCTAGTTTGATTTGATGGGATAAGAAAGCAGGATCTCCTGCATACCACCATCCTGTCCGTGCTTGGGAGTGGTGGTCCTCTCCCTTCCAGCTAGCTACACCCCACAGCCTAGAGCACACAGCCCAGAGCCCTAAGAGGATGTCTGGGCCAGGGGGACATGTCTTCTCCTCTCCTATGCTTGAGTGACCAAGAGCAGACTGCAACCTCCCCAAAGGCAAAGCATAAGTGGTTGCTCCACAGTCAGGAAACTACCTAGGCCACATACCTGGGGCAAAGGGAAGAAGTGACGTGTGTCTCAGTCTCTTCATGTGTTCAGTTTTATCTGCTGCAGTGAGCCGTGTGGATACCACACCCAGCTCCATGGCTAAGAGCTACAGAAACGCAGACAAGAGAGTCACATATACATGACATACAACACACGCATGACCCAGGCATTCCCATCTTGTAGGGGAGCGTATCAGGTGTGGCCTGCTTGGAGCCACAGAGAGGGGAAAAGGGCTAGGAACTGATTTTTCCAGGGCCTCAGTGACACATTTCAGTGTTGCATGGAGCACAGAAAGGACACGGAATGCACAATATCATCCTGCCACAACAGGCTGACAGGGAGCTACAAGATCTTTGGCACAGGAGCTACGAGACACCCAGTACACAAGGGGAAGGTAGAGAAACAGTCACTGTTTCATTCGCAGCGTTAGGAAAGGTGGGTTCTTATTGCGAAAGGCTTGAACGAGATGGGGAGAGCCTCGGAACTGTCAGAAAGGATAAACGGGGAGTCGCAAATTGGCCATGGAAGAATTGAATAGTTATAAGGCACAATAAACATAGGCCAGAGTTCCCATCATATAAATACATCCATACAGAAATGCCCTTTGCAACTCTGCTTACACCCCACTCTCCTCTGTGACCATCCCAAATTGCAGTAGCCCTACACATCCCTCTCCCACACCATCCTCCTACCTCCTGAACTCGGAGCGCAAAATCTTCACTCAGTTCTTCAGCTCGTCTGGGGACAGACGGCATCCACCTGAATGGGGACAACAGCACTGGGCTGACTGCTTCGAGGGCTGCTGGAGGAGCCAGCCCCATCTGGGATCAACAGTGAAACGGCGCTATCCCCACCTCAGCTCTCCCTGCTCACCCCAAACCTCTTCCTGCAAGATGAGAGTCAAACCTCACTGCTAGCTTGCAAAACTAGGGGCAAGGTGTAGCTCAGGAAACAAAACTGGCTCATCTGATCTTTAATAACACTCCAGGGTAACATGCAAAACATCTCCTAACAAAGTTCCCTGAGATGCCCCAAATGAGGAGACATTGCCATCCACATGACAGTAGAAAACAGATCAGCAAGACTCAAGCCAGATATGGCCAGGGGAAACTACAGCACAAAAGTTTTCCTTGCTGAAATAGCCCAACCTCTATATCCACAGCGGAAAGAATTTGTGTCCAAGCCCCTTCCATTGCCTACAGACCCTTATTACACCAAAGCTGCTCAGCCAGTCTGGGCTCGCCAGGGCCCTGGGTATGTGTCTGAACTGCTTCTGCAAATCACAAGGGATTGCAGGGAAGAGAGAGATGCTAGAGGACTGAGCTGCCTGCAGGGAACCACCCATGGGATCTGAGTAACCCTGGGGTGAATTATGGCCCCTTTGATGCTAGAGGAGCTAGCATCAAAAATAACACCAGACAAACTTGAGACAAAAGCCCCGTGAGACTCTTCTTCACCAGCTGAAAGCAGGAACCATGAGCCCTCTCCACTTCAGAAGTTGATTGAAAGCACCTGGCTTGGATCAAATAATGCTGAACAAAGCCACACTAAGATACCGTGATGCGGGTGCACGTCAGTGCATCCCAAAAAAATCTCATATTACAATGGAAGGGGGCAAAAACGTCAGGCCCTCTGCCCACCCTAATCCCTGCCCCAAATGAGCAAGAGAGAGAGAGGGAGATAGTACCTTACTTGATAAACTGTGAAGGGAACAAAGAAGGTCCAGAGAAGCTCTGTAATCCAGGAGGAGTCAGCCACGCTCTAGGGAAGAAAGGACAATTAAGACTGCGGCTCACACAGCAACAGCCAGTCAGGCCTCCGTCAGGGAAACAGGCGAGCAGAACACAGCTAGGCCAGCAATAACAGATACACAGACACAGATGTGGCAAGAGGGAATGACAAACCCAGAGCATAGCAAGGGCAAGCCTCAGGGCAGATTCATCTTCAGTAGTTCCTCACCAGGCAGGGCAAGAGAGTTAAAGTTTTCACTGCTTTACGTTGCCTTTTCCTCCCACTGGGACAGCAAAATTTTCCTTCACAACCCCCCACATTCTCTATTAGCTCGTGCCTTTAGAAAGAACTGAAACTCAGCCTTAGAGCCTATTATGCTCGCTTAGCATCATGAACAGTCCTTATTCCCTGGACCTCCCACAGAAAGGAAGTTCCCACAACAACAACAAGCAAGATTTCATGAGTCCGTGGAACAAGAAACTCTTACTACAGATGATTCAGGTCACACCGAGCCTCAACAGAACGGCTGTTGGAACGGTTCTGATGGGAACAGCCTATGTAATGTCTCAACTCCCATAAGCTTTATTTCTTCATTTCCTAATAGGTTGCACTGTGAAGTTTTAAACAACCCCTCTCTTTGAAGATAAAACATTAAAAGTGAACCACGATTTATTACTTTCTTTCTATTTCTAAAGACTAGCAAATAACCTTTTCTCTAAGAAAACGTTATGATGTCTGGTCAGAAGACAGTGGCTAAGCACTGGCCTCGCAGCTTAGGTACTCTCCATCCTCCTCACCTGGACATGGCCTGAGCCGCCTGATCAAATTCAAAAGTTAGCCCGACTCTGAGCAAAAGCTGAAAGAGAGACCTCCAGAGATTCCTTCCAACCTACTTCTTCAATGATTCCAATGGTTTTTCTATTGAATGGTCTCTTTCTAGGATTTTCCCAATTGGTTACTTTTATTCTGCATGTGACCATACTTTCATTCTGCATGTGGGAACACCATCTCAGGATCTAGCCAGCAACGTAGCTGCCTCAGCTTGCTTTAGAAGTGACTTCATCCTGGACCAAAGGTGCACGGCTCCAAGACAGGGCTCACACCTGATTTATTTAAAGGCTTGGAAAAAGGCAATATAAATGAGAAAAGCCTGGAAACAACAGCTACCAAGGGTAACATAAAGAAGCCTCATCTCCTGGAGCTGAAACAGATGAGAAGCCTAAGAGATCTAATGCCAAATGCCTTATAGTGACTCCAACAGCGAGCCCTTAAAGTTACATTGATGCATGCCACAGAACGAACGAGAGTCCACAGAATCGCTGAAAAATTTAGGTTAGAAACAACTGCTAGAGAAAGCAGATCTAGTTAGATTAGGTCAGTTGAGGCTCTGTCTAGTTGATATATGAATATCTCCGAGGAGGGAAATCCCACAACTTCCCTGGTCCCCTGTCCCACTGTTTGTCCACTGTTTTGTTTGTTTTTTCTTATTTGAAATCAGAATTTCTCGTGCTGCCGTTTGTGACCATTGCACTCCATCATTTCACTACACGCTTCCAAGAAGAGTCTGGCTCCATCTTCTCTGAAACCTCCTATTAGGTGGCTGAAAACAGCAATAAGATCCGCCTTCACTTTCTCTTCTCCAGATAAAACAAACTGAGTTCCTTCAGCCTCTCCTCATATATCATGCGCTCCAGTCCCTTGGCCACCTCAGTGACGTCCACTGGACTCCTTCTAGTTTGTCAACCTCTCTCTTGCCCTGGGGAGCCCCAAATTGGACACAGGACTTCAGCTGTGGTCTCACAAGTGCCAGATAGAGGGGAAGAAACACTTCTCTTGGCTTGCTGGCTACAGTCTAGCTAACAGAGCCCGGTAGGTGGCTGACCTTCATTGCCAGAAGGGCACACTGCTGGCTCCTGCTCACCTGCTCCATCAGGACAGCCATCCCCAGGACCCTTTCTGCAAAACTGCTTTCTAGCCTGTCAGTGTCCAGCCTGTCCTGTTGCACGGGATATTCCATTCCACATATCCGAGACGTGGCATTGCTTTTGCTGACCTTAATGAGCTTCATGAAGTTGCATCAAGAGCTACCCCAATGCCATGTCTGCCTGTGCCTGGAAGCTGAACTGTCGAGTTATGCCCCAAGGGTTCCAGGAAGCAGTGTTCAACATACAGTACAGATCGGTGAGCCTGCTTCCCCCCTTCAAGGTTCCAGTCAACTGGAGTTGGAGAAAATTCCTTCCAAAACCCAAATACGGTGGTTTGATCAGCACAGCGTCTGCTATATATTAGACGTATCTAAGAAAGCCTTCTGTGAAGCACTCATTGACCAGTCACAGTATACTGTCTCCAGTCCCGGGAAGTTTCTGATGATTTAGAATAACCTAAGAAATCCACCAAGATTTATTTAGCCAATTGTACACAAAGGCCAAAAAATCCTGCTTGACTTCTGAAGATGAAACTCTGGGCCAAGAAGTGATTATAACCAAAAAAGTCTACACTTAGGTGCATTCTGTTCTCTCCATCACTCATGAAGGCAAGGCTGCACAGGCAAATGTAAAGATTCCCCTGCAACTTGTCATATCTCGCAGGACTTCTTGGAGAAGCCAAACACATATAAAGAACGCATATCATTATAAATAGTCCAGAATGCGACAGGTCTCCCACTTCTCTGGAGGGGTCATTCAAAAATTGAAAGTACCCTCACTATTAGGAAACTGCACCTTAATTCCAAGCTGAACTTGTGTAGTATCACCATCTAGTCTCAGCACTTGCAAAGACTGTTATGTGCTTTGTCAGAAGAAAAAAAAAAAAAAGAATTCTTCACTCTTAAGCCAATATGCAAGCAGCTATCCACAACGATCTCTCTGCCTCATCTCTAATAAGCTGCTTAAGCTGAGTACCTTCAACTCCTGTTCTCCAGACTCTGCATCATGCTTATGGCTTCCTTGAGCTCTCTCGAATATTGCCGCACTTTTCTTGGCAGTGGGGGCACCAGAGCTTCCCGTAACATTTTCGCAGCAATTTTCACCATCACAACACACACAGCTAACACCATGCCCTTCACTGTACCAGATAGTCCTCGTTATGTACCCACCGACCACGCTAGACTTGTAGTAACAGCAATTCACTGGCAGTTCATCCTGAGGCTGTTACCTAGAACAACTCTCAATTGCTAGTTTCTCAGTCAGACAGTCTCTAAGAGGAACTGTTTCCTTCCTCCACACTCTCCGCATCAGCTTGCAGCCTTCGTTCTTGAACAGCCTCACAGTTGGTTGCACCAATATGCGTTTTGTTGAATTGAGACCATTTAACCAGGCAATTCAAATCTTTAATGAACGAGCTAGATTACTGATATTCATTAACCCAAACAGCAAGGATCTTAATATTGTGATCTACAGCACTGATGAAAGTACTAAAAAGCGCTGGACAAAGAACTAATTCCTAACATAATCTCCCTTTAAAAACACCTGCTTGCTGAAGTTTTAGTGTGGACAGTGATGTTTTGTGACCTGCTGGTAAGCAGCCTTAAACCTATCAAACGTGTCCTACCACCTGAAAAAGTTACACTATGGAAAATCAGCTATAATGCCGGACAAATATAAAACGCAAGCTTCTGTTAATCAACTAGATCCATAAATCACACCAAGAAAAAAAAAAACTCAATAAAATCAGATTCTGTACATGAGCTGAAAACAATTTTATCGCAACCTATTTAACAGCGCTCGTATTATTCTCATGAACTTTGCCACTTTTCTGAATCTACTGTTGCATCACATTACACACCTGCACTTGGGGGACATGAGTTCAAGTATCTAACCTAGAGAGTCTTACATAACTTTTGACACGTCATTCAGTCTCCAAGGCAACTGGAGTTACTCTTTCAAAACTCTTTAAAAGAAGAGGAGTTGAGACACAGCAGTACTATGGTCATGAAAGCCAGATGGTAAATCGTTAGACAGCCTGGCCACTAGAAAGTTTATCAAAATTGCCAGCGTAACTGAAAGAATATTGATTTGGTCAGCTGAAGTTACCTAGGAAACACACTTGAAAAAAGAGAAGTGTTAACACTGGGAAGTTAGACCTTGTGAGGACAGGAAAAAGAAACCATAGGCTATAGGCTAGCTATAGGCGTCAAAGCAGAAGCAAAATTAATCCTGTCACCGAGAGCCTTACACAGCGCACACTGCCAGAATTTCTCTTTGCTCTAAGCCCCGAGACTCACCACAGTGATCAAAGGTCTCTGAACTTGCAGGGCAACTGGCTGTACCATATCCAAGATCGAGAATGGCCAAGAGCTGAAAAGGAGGAATTCAGCAATGAATGACCCCCAAAGCTAAAAAGACAGCCCCACCTTAGGAATACCCACTTCTAGTACCTGAAGCGGAGCAAGCCAGCTCGGCCATTAGTGGCAGCCTCCTCCGGGAACAGCAGCAGTGGTGGGTTTCCTCTGTGAGACGAATACACCTTCAGCGAATCCACCAGCTCTGCTCGACTTCCTATTACTCCCAGCTCCATGAACCCCCGTGACCAGCAGATGAAGCCAGGGGCACCGTTCAACGCGGGCTGCAAGAAAAAACAAGATCAAGCAGAGATGTCTTCTCATCCTTCCTTCAAGACTTACTTTCCCGGTGACAGTGGAAGACAAAGTGCCTGCTTATCAGCAACAACTCCTCTGGGGGCTCAGGAAGCTAAATATTCTAGTAGCAGAGAACTTGTTACTGTCAGACTTCAGTAACTGCTCTGGTCCCAGTTCCCTTGGAATTGGATTCCTCATCTTCAGTTCAGATTGTACCTTGTCTGTCTGAGAAACAGACTTCCTCCCTGCCTTGGGTTACAACGATATTCCCCAAGTCCTCTCTAATAGCTCCTGACATGCTTGGTAAGGGATACGTTAGTTTCAAAATTTGTTTTTCTCTAGACAAGGACCAAATCTACTGCCTTCAGGATACACTATCAAGTAACACACAGAAATACTTGGAGTCAGTCGATTGAAGAAGTCCACACATAAGGAATTTCATGAGAGCTACAGGGAAGGTTACACAACCACCAACACAACACAACCCCAGCACTACTGCCCTGCAGCTTCACTCACTGCTTCCTGTGCAGGTGCAACCAGGTGCCCGCAAACACCAAAGCAGCACCCAGCACTGTAGGAAAACCCCACAACCAACCCTGTTTCTGACGACCTAATTGAAAGGCCAGAAAAAAAATAGAGATGCTAGAATTTGCCTACTCTTTTTTAATAAATTCAACACCCACTGGAACCCCTACTTTTTTATGTTCCTCCCCACCCTGTTTCAGTTTCTCACGGAGAGCCTAAGAGCATGACACCGAACTACAGAAAAAAGGTCAAAGCTTGTGCGATGAACTGAAGCAGCTCAGGGCAAGAACTAAAGCGTGCACCTGTGAAAAAGGTACTTCCAGTGCGCCTATGTCCCGGCTCCAAGAGTTACTCACCGTATTACACGAGGTCAGAAGGTTGATGATATTGTGATCAAAGTGGGTCACGTGGTTGGCAATGTACACCTTCACATTGACATCACGAAGCCGGGGATCACTTTGCCGCACAAATAAGCCCAGCACCGAACACATTACACGCACAATAAATCTGAGGGGGAGAAAGGGGATTTCCTCAGGTACTGCAGACTGAGCCACAACGGGATTAGCTATGCAACAAACAAACAAAAAGACCTAGGAATTCATAAGAATTGAAGAAGAACATGGTCCTACAAACCAGGTGTCTGGGGCAGAACTGTCAGGGGGCTGGAGCTGGGGGCTGAAGGCTGCCTTGCAGAGCTGTAGCTGCAGTATGAAATACGGGGTAGCAACCCCTACAGAGAATCTCTCAGCAGGACATCCAACTGATCCAAGCGTTTATCCGGCCTTGAGCGCTCAAGAGGCAACTGCCAGCTTTAGTCTTGGCAGAGAAGGCACCTTCATGAGTCCTGGGGACAAGGAGCCCCTAAAGAGCAGTTCCCTGTGAACCTCTGCATGAACGAAGCCTCTACGGCTCATGACCCCAGGTGGGCTAGGGCAGCCCTCCGGCCCCCGGCAGCTCCACAGGAGCGTCCGCACACCACATCCCCACCCGGGGCCGCAGCAGGATCTCAGTGCCCGGGCGAGAGCCGGGTCCACGCACCGTCGCAGCACGCTGTCAGGCAGGGCGCAGCTGACCAGAAAGACGTGGACGCCAATGAAGAGGCGCAGGATGAGCAGGCAGAGCCCCACGGGCGCGTAGAGCAGCAGGGCCAGAAGCAGGAACCCGTCAGCTGGAAACCTGCAGGGCCCAAGAGCAACACACGCAGCTGGAGCACGGGGCGGGGACACGCACGGGCCGCTCGGTGCCCCCGGGCCCCGGGGGCC